GCGCATGTCATTTAAGCAAGGAGTCAGTTACGATATATGCGCTAGTCAGGCGTAAACACCAATGTCAACAAAACAAGTGTCAAATTACTACTTGACTTGTAGTTATAATTTTTGAACTCGCGAATTCTATCGCCCTTTACACTGACAACAGTTGCCACAGGTTGTTTAATCGATAACTTATCACTTCGTTGCGTGCTTGGAGTACATCCATGAGTTGCTTGTTACAAAGTATTTTTCTGGCAACAATCAAGCAAAATTTCAAACAAAAGTTGACTCGAGTTTAGCTAATTTTTCGCGCTTCCAGATGAAATCGGAGAAGGAACCGTTATACAGTCACAATGATTTCGTTTTTGAGGCCAAAAAGCAAGTATAAACTAAAAATAGCGAATTGATGAATGGTTAAAGCCTGTGTCCCATGCGTCCGTTTATACGTTGGTACGATGATGCGAAAGTGTTTCTATTGGTTGGATGCATGGGACACAGGCTTTAAGCGAAGGTTTTCAAGCCGCTCCGCTTGTACCCCAATCGAGTGATAAGCAACTCCCCATTTTATAGCACTACTTATGTGTTGAATTTTCCAGAATCACTCTCGAGGAACAGTTTGATCGTCCCGTAAATCTAGCTGTATCAGACGGTGCAAAGCAAAAGGAAACTGGTAAAACAAACCCGAAATTGACCTCCGATTCCACCTTTACCAAACCAATCAGCCATTATAAGCAATTGCCTTACTCGGATGGACCAAATACTCAAATGCCCGTTAAACCGATCAATGATCGACTGGTTTGTGAAGTTGCAAAAACCAGCATGTTAAGACGGTACTTTGCAAAGTGGAGGTCCGAAACAAAACCACCAATCAAGCACACGAAAAAGCTGAATGTATTTATTGGAAATCTTAAAAATTACCAACAGGAAGCGATTCAGTCTTCACAATCCCCAGGGCGCGAAAGCCGCAGTCAAAACCCGTCCGAATTATTCACGAACCGATACAAGTCGCAAAAAATCATTATCAATACCCAACGCTCAAAGATCGAAGAACAGAACAGGATTATTAGCGAGCTGAAATTGGGCATCATACGGGAAGACCTTCTAAAATCGATAGAGAACACGAAAATTGATATTCGAGACATTTTCAGTAACTGTTCGGAGAAACTGCTGACCGCTGCACCTTTGTTAAGGGCGCCAGAAGAGCGGAAAAAGCTAATGATTTTGTCGCAAAAAGCTCCAAAAACCATACAGAAAATGCAGCAGCGCGCCATTGAAAGGGCACAGTATCGAGAAATTATTCTAGAACGAAAAAAGCTGATAGAGGAAACACGTCAGAAGCTGCTTGCAGAAGCTATAGAGAAGAAAAGGGTTCTGGAAGAGGAAGAAAAAGAGCACAATTTGAGAGCAATCAATGAACAGAGAAAAAAGGAATTGCTGAGGCAGAAAAGGCGTCTCGAAAGAAAGCAGGAGTTTGAGCGGAAATATTCAAAGGCCCAGCGATTCTATAACACAGCTCTAACCAGACAGTGCTTGCGGAAACTTTTCAGCAACTACGCGAAAGCGAAGGAAAATTACACATTGGCAAAGGAATTTTATTTGCATAAGCAGAAAACTTGGATATTCAAAGCATGGCTCGGATACGTAGAAACAAAATTCGAGACAAAGTATACAGTGGCGGATGCGCACTTTGCGCGCAAAGCCCTCGCAAATGCCTTCGATAAACTGAAACTGGTAGTTGCTCATCGCTTGGGAACAGTTTTCTTAATTAATTAAACCCGTTTTCAGAATAAACTAGACAGCGTTAGATCCATGCAAGTTGCTGAAGACTTATATGATTTCAGGCTTACATGCAACACGTTCACCAATTGGCACAGATTCGTCTGCAAACAAGTGATGCTAGAGAGCAAGCGAACCGCGATCTCCTTAAAACACTACAACAGGTGAAAATGTGCTAACTTTCCGCTTTGGGTTGACCGTTTTGGGCGTTTTTAGGAAGCTGTTGTTTCAGTGTTTCTACCAGTGGCGATCGTTGCCTGTCGTCATCCAACTGGAAGAAGCCAAGGAAGAGAAAAAGAGGAAATGGAGAGAAAAAGTTTGGGATATTCTGCCTGACTACCGGCCGTCAGAAGAAGCAGCACATTTTTAATACGTTTAATTTTTGATATACACCAACTTTTCTACATATAATTTAGAATTTTCAATTGGATTGCGATTCAAAGTCCTCATCAAAATTGTAGTCTTCCTCAACGGAGGCGGTAGTTTTCAAATTAAAATTCTCCAACCCCGCGGACAATTGGAGCGCAACACGCTCCCTGCGAGCGCGGTCCTTTTTTTCCTTTTTAAATTGCCTTTTTTTCAACTGATTCAGCTGCAAATTCCCAGGCAAAGCCATTTCACCGCTACGTTTCTTTCCTTTAGCCGCTGGTTGTAGGAGCGGTTTCTTGTTGGCAGCGACAGCGATATTGCCGCTTAACTGAAATCACACCACACATTTATAGAGTGGTTAACTGGAACATGATTTAACTTACGAGTTGGTTGGTTTCAACGTCGGTTTCCATTTTATCTGGCCCAGCGTCTACTGGACCCAGACTTTCTAAAACAATAAAACTCTCCATTGTTTTAGGAAGTCCCGGATTTTTCAAAAGACTGTTGGAAACTGGTGCCATTTTGTTCAATAGGTCCGTTTCCATGTTTTCTATGCTGTCCATGTCGAACTCCTTTCCCATTTCCGCCACTATTTTGTAGGAACTTTGATCTGGCTGTTCCTCAGGTGGTAGCGTGTAGTAGGGAATTTTGCCGCTGAACATTTCAGTCACTTATTTACTTTCAGTGCTTTTTCTTTGGTGAAAACATACCTATTCCAATCTTCTATCAAGCCGCGTGCAGCTGCATACGAGTCTGGCACCCCACCCTTCCTAAACCGTCCAGTTCTGGCCCCTTTTAAACTGTAAAACTCTTCAGGCGAATGGAATTCCGGGATATCGTAAATGTCCATGATCTGCTGCTTGCTAACTCTTTGCAAAATAGCGTTAGCCGGAGTGATGGGGTCAGAGATTGAAGATACTTTTACGGCGTTTCTCAGCGACGCTTGGCTATCATTGCCAGCCGCAAACACTATCCCGGGTGAGTCCAAAAGTTTAATTTTCGAGTCTAATTGTACCACTTGGGAGGTTCTGTAAAAAAAAATTAGGGGATCGAGTTGCGACGTGGATGTGGTTGCACCACTCACCTAGTGACGCCAGGCGCAGCCCCAACATTGCACACTCTGGCCCTTTTCAGGCTGTTGATCACTGAACTTTTTCCAACATTTGGCAGACCAACCACTCCGACGGTTATTGAGGTTTTAATATCTTTGTTTCGGCAGTAATTAGCCAGCAGCGACATTACCAGTTCAGCACCTACCGACGAAGATCCTTTAAGTCCCTTATCGGACTTGCTGAACTTCCTTTGCCCTAAATTTCTGTTCTGGTTCTGCACAGAAGCTTTGAAGGCAATTACTGGGCCCTTCTTCTTCAGATATTTCAGCCAGCTTTCTAATATATCCCTGGGCACCAAATCGGCTTTATTCAGCACTAAAACTAATCGTTTAGCCCCATGGATTTTGTGCACTGCTTCTTCCACTTGTTTGCATCTCGTGCCTAGTGGATCGCGTGCATCAACCACTTCCAGCACCACGTCAGCTGCCTCAATAACTTTCCTGAACTCTTTATAGTACTGTTTAAGCGACTGCTCGGTGTTTTTTTCGTAGTCTTTGTCCGCGACTGTGCCTGGACTCAGAGTTTCATGGAGTTGGCCTCTAACCTCTGCATTAGATACCTGGATAATTTATGGTAAGTTTTACAAAATTATGCATGGAAAGGATCAACATACCAAAGACTCCAGGCCGCTACTGGCCTTGGCGAGTTTTTGCGTTTCTTTCGCTTGTTGCCTCTCCAACCTGGCCTGCTCCTTCAGTTTCAATTTCTCCTCCTCTTTCTGCTTCCTTAACAGCGCCACTTCCTTCAAAATATCGCCCTTGAAGGGGCAAATGTTGGGCACCTCTATAATCTTTTGCTTGACTTTCTTCGGATCCTTCTTGGCCTGTCTTTTCGCCTTTCGGTTGTGGTCCCGTACTTTTTTTTCGATTTTATATCTCAGCCTGGCCAATTGACGGTTGGATTGTTTCTCTGGATATTAAACATGACAATGCACCTACATGTTTTCAATAAATACCAAAATGCTACTTACTTATGCGGTTCTTGGCCATTATTTCTCTATGAACAATCAAAGCAAGTAAACCACGAGAAAAGAATGCCAATTTTTTTAGGGTTAATTTGTACTATCTTCACGACTGTTTCAATTTCTGCAATAGAAGAAGCAGAATCCGGAGATCTAGTTACTAAAACGAATGTTGCATAATTATTATATTCTAAGCGGAGAGTTCATTTTTATTAAAAATGCATAACAAATTAAGAAAACAAAATATCTAATACCGTCCTATGCTAAAATTTTTGAAGAAGAAGAATCATCTGTTTAAGAATGTCATTGAGATTCAATGGCTGGTGGCAAAGTCAAGTTTCGATTTTTATTTGTGTTTTTAACACAAACTAACTACGTAAAATTGTATTGAGATGTGCCATTGCTAACTAGGTGTAAAACTCTATAAAATCAGCCCAGGTAAAAATCTCTCTTGTGGCTCTTTCAGGTGAATTTTCAAATACATAAGCACCCCACTTGTTGGTTCTAATTAATATATGAAATTAATTTAGAATTTGAAACGTTCTTTTCTTGCTTCACGAGAGTGCATTTGTGTGCACCATTTCGGTACACACCACACTTACGTTACTAATTTCGATTTCTAAATGAGTAGCAGCGTTTCAAAGCAGTTGAACTCGCATGTTTCTAGTCTTGTCTTTATCTATGGTTTCTAGATGGACTGCACATCGGAACTCAAGGACTTAAGTGGTCCAGACAATCAAGTCAGCATTTTGGAGAATTCCGATCTGAATTCGACGTTGGTTTACATTGCGGTAAGTGTGTTGTGCCATCTAATATCAGCGAGTATTAAACCTTTCGCCGCCCAACCAGGTCCAATACATTAATAAGGACAAGACCGAAGAAAATGTCGCAATCCCAACGCAAGAAATCGCGAACGAATCATTCGCTGATTTTGCAACCCCGCAAGTCAGCCCTTTAGACCCCAATATGGGTTCAGTGGCTCCCTACAGCCCCGTGACAGTGCACTACCAAGAACCCAACGAACCGGATTTGGGGCCCATCATTATTCATCACTATGTTACTGAGGATAATCCTGGCCAGAAACCCTTTGCCGGTAGTCCGCTCAACGATATTAATTCGGGATTGTCTGCGGAGTTGTGCAGTGGTGAAGATATTCAGTCAGCAGATCCAGAATATTCAGAAATCAAAACGAATAATGTTGAAGAAGTCTTCGTATCCGATATTGACCAGAAAGAAGTCGCATTGCTGATTACGGATCATGAAACTGGTAAATTCGTCTTCGACTTCAATCTTTTGAATTTAAAGTATTATTTTTGGCTATTTAGGCATATCGTACAGTGTGAATGCACAAGAACTTCTCGTCGAACAATGCTTAAAGAATTACCATCAAATATTTGAAGCACCATCTCCCGATTCTACTATGGAAACGGAGTTATTTTCGGCAGGCGATGGCGTTTTAAAGGCCCAGCTAGACCAGCCTCTAGATCGACCATTTACAATTCCAGTAAATGATGAAATAATTAGCAGCTATTTCGGTTGTCTAACGAGTGCTGATGATAACTATTGCGAAGCTGGAGTGTCCACTCGAAGTAGATGCCCCAACATAGTTGATGAAGAGGGATTACGTGCGTTGCTCGAATGGTTATTTGTGGATTTTTACTGATCTTGCCTCTATTCTTTCAGTGTCTTGTGTATATAGCATTACAGATAAACCCGTTTTGTCAAGGGCACGTGCTTCTTTACCGGAACCCTATCTATCTATAGTTCAAATTGAAAACGGTAAGTTGATTTTGGTCTGCAGAATTGACGATAACAATGCAAGTTTCAGAGGACACTGTTGTGGCCAAGAAAAGAATACCCAAAAGAACCCAATTTGGCCCACTGAAGGGGGCTTTACGCGCTTACGAAAGCTGCAATATTCAGCTAAATAGCTTTTTTATGCTGGTAGATGGAATCACTTTTATTGTAGACGTTTCTGATGAAAGTAAGTTGCCCCTAGTGGATTCATTAGGATTTTAGGACAAATTCTGCACTTCCAGACACTTGCAATTGGATGAAATTTGTCAGGAAAGCCCTAACTTACGAAGAGCAAAATTTGATTCTCACTCAGGAATCAAATGGACTTTGTTTTACCGCTACAAGGAGCATATCGCCTCATGAAGAACTGAAGGTGCGTGCACTGCTAAGCAACTAAAGAAAAAACCTTTACACAGCGAATCTTTCTTAGCTTGGATACAGTGTCGGTTATGCAAAACAGTTCAACCTCGAGATCCTGAAGCCGGTAAAGAAATTGTGGTCCTGCTCTGAATGTGCCGAAAAGTTTTCGACATCAGACGAACTGCAGGAACATTTCACTGTTCACGATATCGAGTCAGAGGACGGAAAAAAATCGAAAAGGAAATACAGAAAAGTGGCTCAGTCGAAAAAGCCGCAAATCAACATTGTTGAGTGTAATATTTGCGGTCAGATGTTCAATGGCAATGCCGGATACACGGTGTTGAAGTATCACATAACCGAAAAACACAAAGCTGAAAGCGTTAAGATTGGGCAACAGTTTTCAGTAGTCAGGCAAGTGGGTGTTTTCCCTGAATATCTAATTTTTAACGATGGCTGTTTACAGGTGCTTCCAATGTACGAATTGTAGCATGAAATTTAAATTGGAGATGCTGCTCAATATACATAAACTAGAGCACGATTCCGAGTTGCCGCTGGATCAACCCAATCATGTGTGTCCTCAATGTCAGCGTAAATTCCCAACTAGGAAGCAGTTGGTGTTGCACGTGACCAGTCATGCGATTGCAAAAATTACGGCCAAAGACCACTCTGTAAAATGCCACATTTGCCACAAGCTTTTTGCCCACTCAATTAGACTTCAGGTACGTAAAAGTGGGCATTTGGCCATCGAGAGCTGTTAGAGAATTACGTTTTTTTAGAAACATATGCTGTGCCATGGATCGGACGAAACCAAGCCATTGCAGTGCAATGTGTGTAAAAAGCGGTTTTTAACAGTACCGGCACTGGTTTTCCACGAAAAAGTCCATATGGTTGGTCAGAAACATTTCGAGTGTCCAATTTGCAAGGAACGGTTCGAGCTGGTGCGCAAATTGAAGAAACACGTTCTTAAACACGCCCACAACAACGTCTATACGTGTCCGCACTGCAAGAAGACATTTGCTAAATATTCAGTGATCAGGAAACATATGAAGTTCCACAGCGAACGGATACATCACTGTTCAGAGTGCACGAAGTCGTTTGCAACCGTGGATAACCTGAAGAAGCACATGCTGTGCCATTCGGACCATCGCGAGTTTTTATGCGCCGACTGTGGCAAGCAGTTCAAAAGGAAGGACAAACTTGCTGAGCATATCAAGAAGCTGCACCTACAGCCATGCAACAGTCGAATTCCCAAGGTGAAACCTGCTAATGGTGCAGCCGCCAAAGAGCCAATGGACTTTCATCGGTTTATCTATAAATGCCACAGTTGTCTAGTGGGTTTTAAGCGAAGAGGTAGGCTTTAATTACCTTCAATCGATTTAACTAATTCCATCGGTACTTTTTATTCAGGAATGTTGGTCAATCATTTGGCCAATCGCCATCCAGATATTAAGCCTGACTCGGTGCCTGAGCTCAATTTGCCGATCTTGCAAACCACAAAGGACTACTTATGCCAATATTGCGGAAAAGTGTACAAAAGCAACTCGAAGAGAAAAACCCATATATTGAAAAATCACCCTGGAGCCGCTTTGCCTTTAGACAATGGGTAATTTTTGAACGCATCGGTGTGTCATAGCAAAAGTGTTCGCTATTGCAGACAGAAATCGAGCACTGAAACAGGCGATCAATCAGCGTCGTTTCCCTCATCAGGCACGATAACTACGCGCCCCAAAAATTGCCAATGGTGCCATCGACAGTATGCGCGAAGAGCGAAATTGTTACATCACATACGAAAAGCGCATCCAAACAAAATCATCGAAGAAGACATACAACAGAAAGAGAGTAAGTTCTATTCAAAGTTTCAGAAGTTTCAGCCAAGGGCGGATCCCGGGTAATGGGGATGATGACCCCCCCCC